AATTAGGTCTAGATGAGCTCATGAAAGTGGAGACCAGATAATGCATAGTTAGCCCCTTTTGTTTTATGTTTTTTAGTGATATTGCTGTTTGAACTCAGGACTTCATACTTGCTAGGAAGGGGCTCTAGCACTTAAGCCACTTCATCAGCCCTCTTAGCCTCTGTTGTTACAATAATCCTATATAATTTTTTGCATATGTGATTTTTATACTTGTGTAATCTGTATGATAAAAATCCTAAAAGTGAAATCACTGAGAATGAGGGCATTTCTAGCTGCAATTTTAATAGTGTTGGGAGGAAAACAAACTTTTTCCTCTACCAACTCAGGTTCAGTGACTGAAGGCAGGCCTGTCAATCAACTGACAAAACACAGATTAACAGAAAAAAAGTTTATTCACTTTGTTCTGTAGCACAGAACAAAGAAGCACCCTGAACAGATGGAATTAAGAGTTTGTACATCATCATAAGAAGAGCGTTTAGGACTTCAAGGAAATGCAAATGGAAGAAAACTAATGAGAAACAAATAGAAGGTACAGAAAAAAATTTTTTTTGAGATGGAGTCTTTGCATGCTGCCGAGGCTTGTGTCTTAACTCCCAGGCTCAAGCACTCCTCCTGGGTCAGCTACTTAGTAATAGCTGGGACTAAGACATGCACTACAGTACCAGGTCTGTCTCCTTTCTGCCTCTCAGCCTTCCAGAGAGAGGATTTATGGTGTCTGTACCTTCCTGAGTCTTGTTTAAGTCAGAAAGAAGTTTTGGTAAGTCCCCCCCCATGGCTGCTGTTCATTCAGATGATTTCAATTTAATATAATCTTCTTACACATAAGTGGGTTCAAGTGGATTTCATCGGCAGATATTGCCGAAGTGCCTTCTACAGAGTCTACCAATTTCTGCTTTCACTAGCAATGAATGAGTGTGGGTATTTTACTCCCAAACCCTTGCTAACATGGTGTTAGCAATAAACCTTTCTAATTTTTTTCAATCTGGATATGTTATATATCTGAATATCTGAAAATTAATCTATTTCCTCTACTGATTCGAAATGCCAATGTCAGCTTTTTCATATATTAAATTCTGTCATATACATGTATATATATAATTTTTATAGTACTGGGAATCAAGCTATACAAATGAAATGAATCTATACAATGTTATAATACAGTTTTCTCATATAAAGTAGATTGAGAATCTTCTGATGAGTTTCTGAACCATTTGTAAGTCCTTTTTTTAATGAATCATCTATTTGGACATAAATAGATTTTTTTTTTTCCTTTCAATACTGGGGACCAAGCCTAATGCCTCATTCATGTTAGGCAAGCTCTTTACCACTGAGCTACTGAAACTGGAGTTTTGGACCCAAGGCCCAAACTCCTGAGATTCCATATGCCAGGTCCAGTCACCTGTGCCTAAAGGCCAAATAAAGAGACATGGTGAAGGTAGAGAACAGAGATTTATTACACAGCTTGGAACATGCCATTGGGAAGAGGCAGAGTAAACATTCAGTTCATCCTCAGCCATCTTTGGGGTACAGACATGAGCTACAGATTTAAATAGACAAAAGAAGTGGGGGCAGGGGACAAAGGTATACATAGTTAAACAGTCCCGGTCACAGGTGTGATCTGGTTGGTCTCATGACTGGTGGGGCCAGCAATCTTGGTCAGACGGATGGTCTGGTCCAGTTTTGGGAAGTTATCACCTGGAAGGAGTAAGCTGGTTCCTGTTTGAGAGGATTACTCTGGCTTGGGATGTGAATTGTTCTCACCAGGAGAGTGGCAGCTCCAGGTGGCTCTGGTTTCTTGTCATAAAGATGTTATCTGTTCTGTCTTTTCTGGAATTGAAGATGATTGCAAAGTGACTGTAAAAAGAATGACTTAGAGCAAAGACAGATACAAAATGGAGACAGGAATGACAAGCTTCTCCTGTTTTTAGTTAATATGTGGGCCCAAGTAAGGAGTCAGTGCTTTTCAGCAAAAGCAGTTTGAGCATCTCTTACACTACATCCCCAGCCCTTAAAAAAAAAAAAGTATATATATACTATATGATATATATATACATATGTATACATATATACATATATATTATATATACACACAGTATACATATATATATAGAGAGAGAGAGAAAGACAGAGTATCACTAGTATCACAGAGTATCAGACTTGAACTTGCTATCATCCTGCTTCAGCCTCCCAAATGTGTGTGTGTGTTTAAACAGAGCTGGAAATGGAAATCAAACCCAGGGCCTCAAGCAAGCACTCTACCACTGAGCTACAACCCTGTCCCCTAACTTTTACTAAAAGAAACAGGATCTTGCTATGTTGCCCAGCCTGGCCTTATACTCAAAAATGCTCCTGCCTTAACCTCCTAATTAGCTGGGACCTACAGGTATGCACCACCATGCAGAGCCAAATTCTCTTACATATTTAATTTTACTTCTGGACCCTGTCTTTTGTGGGGTGGGGGGACTGGGGACTGGCATTTGAACTCAGGGTTTCACACTTGCTAAGCAGGCTCTCTACCACTTGAGCTACTCCACCAGCCTTTTTTTTGTGTTGGGTATTTTCGAGATAGGGTCTCATCAATTATTTGCCATGGCTGGCTTTGAACTTCAATCCTCCTGATCTCTGCCTCCCAAGTAGCTAGGATACAGGTGTGAGCCACTGGTGCCTGGCTTGTCTTGATCAATTGGTTTGTATTTATTCCTATGGCAGTGTAACAAGGACTTAGAAGCTAAAAAGCACTGATTTCTCAGTTGGGCCACAGATACTGAATAGGTAACCAAAAACAGAATAAAGCTTAACATCTCTACCTTCGTTTTATATCTTTCTCCTCTGCTGTAGATCAGATTCCTGCTCAACTCTGCAGTCACGAGAGTGCATGTCAACCACTTAAGAATTGTCTGAGTGGGCGCCTGTAATTCTAACTACCTGGGAGGCTGAGTCAGGAGGAACAAGGTTTGAGGTCAGCCCAAGCAAATAGTTCTTGAGACCCTCATCTCTAAAATAACCACAACAAGACAGACTGGAGGCATGGCTCTAGCAGTAGAGTGCTTGCTTTGCAAGCCTGAAGCCCTGCGTTCAAATCCCAGTACCACCACCACCAAAAAAAAGTCTAAAACTGGTGATATAAGGCTGATTAGTCCTAAATTTACCTAATTTATCTTATCCCCCATTCAAGCCTGAAGACATAAGCGAAGAGTAACTAAGGTATTTTACTGTTAGCTTTCACAATGTTCTGTTCCACACCCTCAAAAAGGCACCTGAGAGTGTCACTAGTTATTGTCCTAAATCTGCGATCACCTGGATTCCATTAACATGGACTCTCACAGACAGATCGCCCTCCTCAGTGGGAGCAATTACCCCATGATGGGAACTACATCATGAAGTTGCACCCCCAAGCAAGAGCAATCATCTCCTGGGAACCCCATTATCCACTCAGATGATAAGGACTTATCAGGAGCCACCTTGCAGAACTAGAACTAAGACAACGATCAACCACACCACAATTTGGCTAGACTTCTTAATTTTGCCTACTTCTTATCCTCTACTCCAACTCTTCTGCTAAAGGGTGTCAGGACCTCAGTACCGCAAAGATAAGCTGAGATATTTGATCTCCTCCCTCTTCCCAAAATCTCCCATTGATTTAATTCTTTTCCTTTCTTTCCATCATTACTTTTCCATTTGATTTCTGGGGCTAGGTGCCGCACCGATCTGTTGGGATGTCCCTGCCTTCAAGGGCCTCTGCCCTTGAATTCCAGTAACAAAAGTACTAAAATTATTTTAAATAAAGTTATGAAGTACTTTTGTAATTGTTAGGTTTAAGTCTGCCTTAATTTTTTCAGCACTTCTCTTGCAATATTCTCTCCCCTTGTAAAGTCTACAATTTGTATCTAGTTTGAGAAAGTACCTTATTGATACTTTGATACTTAACACGTATTAAGATCTGAAGACGCAGGGGCCCCCGGTCACCCCGCTGGCTCAGCCACTTGGGGCCCACCTCTCTCCCGAGCCCCTAAGGCTGCCTCCCCCGTACCCCCGTTTCACCCCTAGGAAGGAGGGGTTCCGGGTCAGAGCTGGGGCCCTCCATCCGCGTGTGCACCTGGGAGCCAGGTGCACAAGTCCGCGCCCCTTCCACGTTTGCGCCCTCGCGGGGAGCACAGGTTATCACTGCCAATTTTGGGGGGGTGGCGGTGGATGGTGATTATAAACTTGGTTTCGGAGACAACAGGCTGACATAACCTGCGGCACGGAACGCGGGCCAAGAGTTGGACTCCGCAGTCGGGACCCGGCCGGGCCAGCTCCCCAGGCGCCGGCGTTGGCGGACGCGCCGCGCGACATCCAGACTGCACCTAGGCGGGGTCCCACCTCACTGCCATCAGATGGGAGGCATTTTTTAAAATTTAGCGTTGTAAGCCTGGATTCCGGCTTAATTCAGCCTAAAAAGCTTGTTGGAATTTCACTTTATCTTTTCCAAAGTCCCACTCCCATCGTGTTCGGACTCAGCGATGCGAGCACACTTCAAAGAGAGACCCAGGTCACCACAGGGCTAGCGCCGGGAGGGTGGGGCAATCCTTCCGGACCAGCCAATGATCGGACGCCCTATCCTACGAGACCGCCCAGACCTCCTAAGCAGTATGATTGTGATTGACGTAACTAGGCGGAAAACCACAACAGCTTTTGATTGGCTGCAGCGTGCAGTCGCTTTTCTGTAGTCCAAACCTTGAGTTGTTTAGTGATAAGTCCCGCCTTAAAAAGCATTTGATAGCAGAGTTACGTGTTGTAAGGCAAGCGATGATTGGTCAGAGAGCCCACGGATTCGGTCGGTAGTAAACACAACCAGGCTCCTCAGGCAGTGGATTGGTCAGTTTCTCAGGAGGCCGGGCAAATTCCTCCGGTTTGGGGCGCAGCTGGTTGCGCTCCCTCTCAGACCCCGCCCTCCTCCCTGCGGATTGGTTGGCAGCCTTTTCTGGGGAAGGAGGTATGAAGCAGGGTAGGCGACTTGCATTGCGTCACTTCCGTTTACTGTCGGCGGCCACCGCCGCCGTGTTAACAGAGAGCTTCTTCGAACCGGCTGAAGGAGCTGGGAGACAAGAGGAGGGGTGGGCGGGGGGTAGGGGGCGGGCGGAAGAGGGAGGAAGTCCCATCACTGAGGCGCCAGTCTGGACGTTCCCGCCTCCTCCGACCGTGTCAGGTCCGATCGGAGAAGGGTCACCGCCTCCTCCAGCGAGGAGAAGGGGGGCGGAGCCCGACTCAGGTGAGACGATCCTGTCAGCTAGCCGCGATAACGTGCGCGCGCGGCGCGCTCACGAGGAGACGGTTGAGCACCGGGGGCGCGCCGGGGCATCGGGGAGCGCGCAGACACGTCCGGTACCCCTCGCCTATCCTGCCTGTCTTTCCGAGGGGGTATTGTTACCCTTGCGATCCCAGGGGCCAGGCGGGTGGGAGACGGGTCCTTCTGCGCAGGCGTCCCCCGTGTCCCGTCGCCTGGCTGGCTGTCTGAGGGGCGGGGTGGGGGCTGGTGCCCCTGCGGATCTCCGCCTGGAGACGCTGCTTCCCGGGATGGCGTGGGAAAGGCCTGGGGACCTACAGCCTGGCGGGGAGGAGAGAGGATCTGTCGCCCCGCGGGATGGAGTCGGGGGGCTCTGTGGCCCCCATCCCGGTTTCATTTCATCGGAGTCAGGCCACGGGCGGTCTGCGTTCGGGAGCCGGCGGCCGACCCTGCAGCGGGGGAATCAGTTTTGGAATGTCCCAACTTGTGAGGAGACCCAAGTGTTCAATAGGCGTTTTTTGGATGCCCACTACTTCCAGGCTGCGTGCCAGGAGCTGTGGGCGACGCGGTGGTAAACGACAGCCATCCCGTCTTCTCCCCCTTTGGAGCACAGATTTGTACATAAACACCAGTAGAAGACAGTGACTTAAGGGGGATTGAAGATTAGGCTTGCCTAAGCTCCCCGCTCGCACCCCCCACAAAAAAGTCTGCATGCTGGAGAACACTGTAGAGGCTAATTCCTGAAGGCAAATTTTAAATATTGAATTTGGAGAGAAAAAAATTTAGATACAGACAAAAAAATCTGAATTCCTAAAGTAGTGTGCTCTGATTCTCGCTAACTTGAATTAATAGAAGAGACGTTCCACCTTCAAGAATTTAAACAAGGTATTTCCAGAATAGGTTCGTATATTTTTTTGAGTTGGATTAAGTAGAAGATGTCACGCACATTTGGATTTTTAGAGGTTGAAGAGAATGCTGTGCCTCAGTCAGCGTGGGATGTTGGGCCTTAGATCGTTTTAAAAGGTGGGCTGGTGCCTCGTGGTTTTTCTGGAGATGTTGCTTTTCCTTTGCTAAAGGCTTGTGATTTTTGGTGAAGACGGTTGGCAGTAAGCTATAAGAGTGGAGAGGGAAGTGACCGGATGGGCGGAGGAGAAAGAATGTCCAAGAAAATCCCCTAAGCCAAAGGAAAACCTTCCACTGTTTGCTTTAACCCTTCTGGAAATTTCAGCAAACTTAAGACTGACCTGGTCACCTCAGCTAGTTTAGTGACTTGCCAGGTAAGATTAACGGATTGAAGATCAATTCTGGGTCCTAAATAGACAGGACTTTTTGAAGAGTCCTGAAGTCAGTTTGGTTTTTGGAGATTTGGTTTTTTTCCCTAAAAGCTGTTTCAAAACATAACTTTCAGTTAGCTGGCAATGCTGGCAAGCTGAATTCTGGTTACTTGGTGTGTCTCTAGTAAAATTTTGCACGTGATTGAGATCTGGAGGAAAAGCATTTTATAGGTGGGGATGTTTTTCCTAAACAGTGCCCTCAAAAGAGACTGTCCCATGACTGTCAAAACAACTGAAAGGATTTTTAAAAATCACTTGCCTCAAAACTCATGTAAATGCTTTGTTATTTAAAGTATTTAGTATTAATTATGTCCTGTTGGAGACTTAAAAATATTTGGGTTCAGTGAGAGTGGCAAAACTTGCTGTAGCCCTGACACAGAATCTTGAGCGTACCTCAAATTCTCCCTGGAAAGGGGAAAAGGAACCCAAGGTACTGATTGAGTCCATGTTAGCTTTCAACTTTTATTGTTTTAAAGTGTAAATTGATTGTAAATCCTCCCCCCCCCCACAGTTCTGAGCATGTGATTTTTCTTTTATTGTCCTTACCATTTCTCAAATATGGATGTGAGTAGCAGAGGCAATTTTTGTTACTGTAGCAGGTGGGATGGAATGTAACACTACACTGCACCTTTTGTCTAAGTATGAAGTGAACTTCTCATGCTGAAAGACCAGCTGTTTTCTGAGTGAACTCTTGCTCCTTACAGTTGTTTTCATCACTGAATAGTGCTTTTAATCTCAAGATCCAGTTTTCAGGGTGCCTTTCCTTTTTATTCTATGTATGTTGCTAAAAAGCTTTTATTTTCTTGTCAGCTTAAACAGATCAGGAATTGTGTTGAAGTAATGACTTTATTGTAATATAGTAAATATGGATAAATTCTTAGTATCAAAATTTATTTTATCTGTAATTTTCCTTTTTCATCTTCTAACATACTTGAATGATATGTTCATGGTTCTACTGTTTCCTAGATTCTAAAACACATTTTGTTCAAATTTTTCTTTGTTGGAAGACAGGGTGGCATAAGTAAGCACCACGTTAGAACTTAATTGAGAGCATTTAGCTGGGCATAGTATTTCATGCCTATAATCTCAGCACTGGGGAAGCTGAGGCAGGAGGCCAGCCTGGGCTACATGGCCAGACTTTGTCTCAAAAAAACAAAACATAAGCTTTTTTTCTTTCCTGATATTACATGAAATAATGCTGTTTATAATTACTGGCATTTTAGATTTAATGAAATACGGTACAATTAAGACATTTTATACCTTATAAATTCACTGTAATTGTAATCTGAATTTTCCAAATTTGCCTTTGTGTTCTTAAGAAAGTTCATTATTGAAAGAAGCTCCTTGGGAGTAATTTTTTTTTCCTTAAATAAATGGAAATTAACAAAATGTTTTATAAAATTTAAAGGGCGATTAGGTGGTGGGTGTGCTTCTGGGAAATTATACTTGGTAACATAGGTTTACAAATGCTTTATTTCCAACTTCTAAAATTTAAAATGAGAGTGAATTGCTCCATTTTTTCCCTGTACATGCTATTATTAACATGGTGTAATTGATTTTCCAGTACATCTTAATTAGTCAGTTATAATTTGAAATCCACTCAACCGTCTTCCTTTAAAAAGATGCAAGGCTTTTACCTTATAGTCCATCTGTTTTAATCTCTACTACAAAGGAAATTTGAGGAAGAAGGACTGGGAAAAGAAACCACTGTTTGCGGAGGTTCCATTGTGAGAGGAACCCAGAAATGCTGTAAAAATCTGAACACATCTGGTCATGTACATTGCATTTTATTTTGAATAGATGGTAAAAAGCAACATAGCAGGTCACGTGTCGGTCACTTATTGAACACTATTGACTTGATAAAGGATTTAGAGGGGAAGGGCTATACTGCTTTGAAAATAAATTTAGTCTAAGAATTAGATTAAATCCATTTTTAAAAAATCTTACCTACTGGTAAGGCACTGTTCCTGGAGTTTAAGGCCAAAGCCCCTGCTTTGGGAGTCCCAGTGAACTACCCTCTGTCACCCATCAATGAATCCAAGAAATGAGCAGTGGTGACGGGTGGAGAAGACCTGTAATCAATGTGATCACATTGGGGAATGTGAAGGAAAGAACAAAGAGAATTTATTGGAACGGGAAACAGGCAGAGGTTGTAGGTTTACATAACTGACAGAGCAGGTACTCCTAGTCAGACCAGTGGTCTGATTGATCATTGTCTCAGTTCTGGTTCTGTGAGCTGGTTCTGGAGATGCTGTTATCCCTGTCATCACTTGAGATGACTACTCCTTTTCTGGGGTGTAGCCTCAGTTCCCATCAAGGAGTAATTGTCCCATTTTGGGGTGATCTTACATGGGGTGATAAGTTCTTCCAGGCTTGCCCTTGCTTGGGGTTAGTTTTAGTCCCTTGTCATAAAGGTATTTATTGATCAGTCCGGTTGTTCCTGGAATCAAAGGTAACTGCAGGAGAGTGACTCAGGAGGGAAAAGTTAAAGAAGTAAAATAGAGCCAGAGAGAGACAAGATGGAGTCAGGCCAGTGATTGGGCTCTCCTTCAGCACCATCAGTAACAGTGCTCCATGCTTTGGCATGGCTTCTTAATTGAAGTTTAGTTTTTCCATAAAGAAATATATTTCTTGATCTGTCAGGGATAAAGGGCAGTGAAAGCTATTTTTTAGAATTGTTGAGAAGGTTTTAGAAGGGGTAACTGGAATAGTGGTGGGTATCATTTTCTAATACAGGAAAAATATATTTAGACTTTTTAAACTTATTAAAATAGATGTAATCTTAGACATATTAGCAGCTAAAAGGAAATATTAATGGTGGGTTTTAAAGACTTTTGTGGGTTTTTTGTTGTTGTTGTTGTTGGGGGACGGTTCTTGTGCTGGAGATTGAACCCAGGCCTCACACATGGTAGGCAAGCACTCATTACTGAGCCACACTCTCAGCCCCATCTAGACTTTTGGATATGTTTGTAAAGATTGTATGATCTTTGGAGTTTTTTTCCTCCCCTCTGGTGTTGGGGATGGAACCCTAGGCCTTGTACTTGCTATATACTCTGAACTCTACCACTGAGTTATATCCCCAGTCCAATCTTTAGAGTTTTAACTGATTAGAGATGGTCTCCTGTCTAAATAGCTAGCTGGCTATTTATTTATTCATTTAAATTTTTGGACAAATAGTACCCAAGATGGGAAATTTCTAGGTACTACCTATAGTACCAGTGTAAAATTCTAACCAGAATAAGGCAGCAAAATTGGCCTTCGTTTATTTTGAAGTTTAAAGGTAGTCCTTCCAGCCTCTGTCATGTAACTGACTAGCAGGTCTTTAAGACACTACTTCACTGGTGGACCACCCTGACAGGGTTGGGCAGATCAGGATTTTCCTCTTGAAATAAGAGACCATGTAGCCAGTTTTATCATTCAGTTCTCAAAGTTGTGATGGCTGATTTTTTCTTTCTTTTCTCTTCCTTCCTTCCTCCCTCCCTCCCTTCCTCCCTCCTTCCTTCCTTCTTTCCTTCCTTTTTTTTTGCGGTACTGGTGCTTGAACTCAGGGTCTACACCTTGAGCCACTCTACCAACCCTATTTTGTGAAGGATTTTTCCAAGATAGGATCTTGTGAATTATTGCCTGGACTGGCTTGGAACGGCAGTCTTC